ACAACCCCGAGGCCTAAAAACACCACAGTCTGGCTCAAGGCATTTGGGGTTGGAAGATCCAGGCCTCAGGGGACTTGGGCTCAAATCCAAGAGGGAAGCAAACCGGGAGCCTCAGGTCACCTCAGCAATCCCCCGTAGGGTCCCTCACCCAGGGCCCAGGGCCAGCAAGAGCTGCCCTGTGCTCCTTCCTCACTGGGCCAGGGGTTTCTTCAGGATACCTTGGGTCTAAAGATCTCCGGGGACCCTCCCACACACTTGGTGTCCTAGGTGGATTGTGAGGAGACCCTGACAGCCAAGCGTTTCCATGGTGACCAGAATACGGGATTCACCCGCAAATTCCCCTGGCAGCGGAGGAACCGTCGCTTTGCTTTCTGGACATACAAATTAATGAGGCAGAAAGTGGAATAATGCTCCAGAAATACATTCTTTTCTGCTGTTCTTTTGGTGACCTGTATTCCAGATGAATGTTTTACGTTGTTTTCTTAGGGGTGTGTATGTGTCATTTTTCAGGACAAACCTCTGGAGTTCTTGTCAGATTTTCTGCTGAAGAAAAGTAAAAAGAGCCAGTATTGTGAAGGGAATGCTCTTCCGACACAAGGTGACCCGAAAGGAACTCTCGGTTTGTTCAGGAAGGTAAAGTTGCTGCTGTGTCTTTGTGCCTCGGTCTCTGTGGAGCAGGCATGTGGGTGAAGAAATGCGCAAATCCCCAGGGCAGCTTTACCTGGAGGGCTCTCCGCCCGTCCTGTCTCCTAACAGCTGCATTTTCAAGGGCGGGTGTTTTGTGGTTACATGGGGAACAATTAAGCCTTTTCAGAACATAAGCAGCACCTCATTGGCCTGAATAACACTGCTTAGTCTCCAGGAAGAGATGGAAATTTGTACTAAGGCCTAAGGCTTGCCTTTTCTCAGTTGAGTTCTGAGATAATTTGATTTTTTAAAAATGTTTGTAGTCTAGGACACTTTTCATTTTCTTTCCCTCTCCCCCTACCCTTTCCTTTTTTTCTCTTTCCTTCCTTCCTTTCTCTTTCTTCCTTTCATTCTCTCTCTCCTCTCTCTTCTTCCCTCCTTCTTTTCATTTTTCTTTTTGGTGAAACTAAGAATAGATTATTTTTCCTTAAGTGACATTCACATCTATAAAAGGAAAAAAAGTGGGGTTGATGCTGGTCCTTCAGTCAGAAGGGAGCCATGTCGCGCGTGCTCTATGCCGCAGCCCCGCCGCATTCTTGGGTTATGTGAGATAATCAGGATTCAGGAAGCACTGAGAATTGCACTGTCACTCACAGAGCTGATTTCCACACAGAGGAAAGGGTCACTTGGAACCATTTTATGCTCTAACACATGGCCTTTGAGGAACACAAGAATTACAAACCATGGCAAGTGGCATCCTGTTAGGGTGGTGTCCTCACCGCAGATATCCATAGGAAACTCTGCAGGTTTTTCTTTTTCTTTTTCTCTTTTTTTTTCACTGTATTTAGTACAGGGTCTACAGGATCTTACTACATGGGTCATAGATCAGACTCGTAGTGATCCTCCTGTTTTCAGCCTCCCATAGAAAAGTTGCCTATCTTTGGTGTCCCAAAGGTTGGGACACCTCATGCCCCTGATGCAAGCTCACCACTTAGACTGTAAAGCAGGCTTATGAGTTAACAAGCAGGGAGATCACCTGTTGTCATCTCAACCTGATAAGTCAGAAGGATCTGTTAGTGTTGCCACTGAGAATGGTGCATGAAGGACGAGGCAGACAAGGACAACATGGTTCAGGACCTCTCAGAGCCAAACAGCTCTGAAAACGAAAGTCTACAGTTGGAAGCCTCCTTCCTCCTGGGTCTTCCCAACACCCAGCATCTCCCTGAAAGGAGTCATCAGAATCACCCTGGGCCCTAAGGCCTGTGTAGCTTGGAGCCCTGCTTCGGGCCGCCCCTCTCCTAGGTCTATCTTTTCAGGAAATACTCAAGCAGAGCAGAACATCCACCTTTCCAATTCAGCTCCCCAACATTTTTAGGAGTTGGCCAGGGCCAAGGGCCTATGCTGCACACTAGGAGCAGACAGCTAAGCAGGACATTGCCCCTGCCTGAGGGTGGCAGAGACCCCTGCATAGAGGGTGATGTGGAGTGATGCATGCTGGGCGATAGGATGCATGCGCTAGGTGGGGATGGTGACGCCAGCATTTCATTCAGATTCTGTTTTCTGCCTTTCGGAAACTACTTCTTTTGCCTGTTATCTCTGATGTTCTGGGGGCTTTTTCTCCCCAGAGGCACTCACCCATTCTAGCCATCCTTCCACCTTCACAGAAGAGCACCCAGGCCTCTGATCTCTCCCCTTCTCTCTCCATTCACGAACAGGAATGAGCCACATACAAGCACCCCATGCACTACCAGCCTCTTCCCCATCCTGACCACATCTAGGGGATCTTGGCCCCCAGAAATGTCACTGAGCCCTTTGAGACACATCCATTCCTAGGGAGGAAGCTGTCCCCCCTCCAGCCTTCAACTCAGCCTTGGATGCACCCTTCAGTGAAGCAAGAAACTAGAAGAAGACACCAGGGACAATGTGTTTTCTCCTCTGAATCGTTCCTTTCACATTTTAAAGACCCAAGTCTTGGGGAGAGCCATTTTCTGAATCTCTGACATGTAAAGGAACGGCCACAAGGAACATTTCCTCTGCATTCTTGGTTCTGTCTGTCTGTCTGCCTATCTGTCTCTATCTCTGTCTGTCTGTCTGTCTCTGTCTCTGTCTCTGTTTGTCTCTCTGTCTGTGTCCCTCTGTCTCTGTCTGTCTCTGTCCCTCTCCCTCTCCCTCTCCCTCTCCCTCTCCTCCCATCCCCTCCTGCTTCCCCTTCTCTTTAAACAGTGTCTGCTATGTAGCCCAGGCTGGCTTTGAACCTACTGTGTAGCCTAATCTGGCCTTGAACTCGCAACAATCCTCCTGCCTCAGCCACCTTGAGTTCAAGGCTAGGATTCAAGGCCCCCACTACTATACCCAGATTGCTTTGACTTTCTTAGATTCCTTCTGAAAAAAAAAAAAAAAAAAAAAAAAAATTCCACGCTGAAATCTGGTCTTGCAAAAATGCTGTTGATTTAAGCATCTAATCTTGTTCATAAAAGAAGGCACGAATTTGGGCTTACAGTTGCTTCACTGATAAAGTTAGCCTTTTGCTCTTATATCACCTGCCTCAAATACAACTACGGAAATGTGTGATTCCCTTATACCTAGCAGCTCGCTTGATTATTTTTTAAAGACATCAATTTAGAAATACAATGTATTAAATTCTTATTTGCTTATTATTGAATACCTAATAGCATGTTAATGAAGCCCACAAAAATTTAGGGACTCTTCAGAGGTAGAACCACAATTCAAACATAGGTGTTGAATTAGGAAAAAAAAAAAAAAGAGGATAGATGTGAAGGCGCACACATGTAATCCCAGCTCTCTGAGGCTGAGGCAGGAGGATTGATGTGAGTTCAAAGCCAACCTGGGCTAAAAACTGAGTTTAAGGTCAGCCTGAACTGCATGGCAAAACCCTGTCTCAAAAAGACCAAAAAATAAAGTACAAAAATAGAGAAGCTGACTTTATCCTCATCTTGAGGTTTATTTTTAAAACTGTGGATATTTTCTCAAAAGAGAAGACCAATCTACCATCAGGGGAGTGGAAATAATAACTTCTTGGAGAAGATTGTTCTTGAGATCTTCCCCTCAGGGGTTTGTTTAGCAGGCTTGTCCATCAAATCCATGACTATAAATATAAAATATATATATCCTCTCAGGCAGCTATCACCTTGCTGTGTCAAGGTTTTGGGTGCCTACAGTATCTCCCCCACCCATGCTGTGAGCGGATGATGATGGGTCACAGCCAGGGTCATTGTCACTTGTGAGTTCCACCTGTCATCTGCTCATTTTCATCACCATACTGGCCCCTGTCCCCAGCATCTTCTGGGGACAGCATCAGCCAAGGCTAGGGCAACTCTAGAATACGTAGTGCCTGCCTGGGTCCATCCTAGGGGACAATTCCTGCCTTGTGACCAATGCCCAGCCCTGTGAGCTTGTTTCTCATACACCCTGAAGACCAGGAAGGCCTAAGTCCACAAATCTCAAATAATGACCCTGGCAAATGCAGGGTCCTGAGTGCAATCCCTGGTACCAAATAAATAAATAAATAAAAATAGGCTTTCAAAATCCTAACAATTGTCAACAATGTATAATATAGAGAAGTCTCCATTTTTAAAGTTCCAATAAAATTACTGTGTCAAACCAATTTCTTGTCCCCAAAGAAGAATTTATGCTTTGAACAGCAGCTGCCACTGATTCAGAGACAGAGCACACAGGCTTGTGGTGAGCGGTGGCCAGCACCTGAACATTGACCTGGCAGGGCTCAGGTGGGGTCCTGTAGTAGGTTATGTGCTAAACAGCTTTCTATTGCTGAGAAACAAAAATATCTGAGGAAACAGATTTAGCAGAGGAAAAGGTTACTTCGGCTCACAGTTTTAGCAGGTTCAGTGCCTGATTGTTTCTGAGCCAGGACGATGCAGAAGGGACTGCTGACACCCTGGAGGCTGGGAAGTGAAGCGAGAAAGAGACCAGGGTCCTGTAAGCCCTTCAAGTCGGGACACACCCCCAGTGACCTCACTTCCGGCTGTGAGCCCCACCTCGGAAGGATTCCATTACCTCCCAGCAGGGACTCAACCTGGGGATGGGTTTCTAACACATGGCCTTTGAGGAACCTAAGAGTTACAAACCATGGCAGGTGGCATCTCCCATTAAGGTGGTGTCCTCACCTGAGAGATCCGTGGGAAACTCTGCAGGTTTTGTTTATTTGGGTTTTTTTTTCATTGTACATAGTAGTGATCCTCCTGTTTTCAGCCTCCCAAGAGCTGGGATTACAGGTGCGTGCCACTACACCCAGTCTCAGTAGCTTTCCCAGCATGCCCCGGGGGTAGGGCTTGCAGGGCATGCTGGGGATCCAACCCTGCAAGGTTTTGATTATCCTAATCCTCATCTTGCCCTGGGCAGTGGGGTCTGGCTTTCATCTTACATCTGTAGTCCCTTGCTGGTGAACAACTGCTGATGTCTCCATGGCTTGGTGAAGTGATCCTTTCTCTCCTATAAATAATCAGACTGTTACTTAGTTTAAAAAGAAAAGTGACCCACCTGAAGAGAAACTGAATAATTTTGTCAAAATTTAAGGTAGAATTTTCCCCCCTAGGCACAAATATAAATGTATATGCCAGGGCATGGGACAGGCACCCTCAGGGGTCCAGAGAAATGGTGAAAGATTCTGGGAGCTGCCTGAGACTGGGCCTCCAGATGCCATAAGGAACCCAACAGCTACAAAGTACAAATTGATTTTGGCTGGAGGAAGGTAAAAGGAGTCTCGGTTATCAGTGGACGGTTTTCTTCCATTCTCTCTCTGCACATCTGGGGGTTACCACAGATAATTCTATCTTTATTAGGAAGGGCAGTGGGAGTGACCATTTTCGCTGTTAGCTCCCAACCAAAGTACAGGGCCGCTGTTCCCCTGCTAGAGCTGGCATCCGAAAATGCTGGTACCCAGAGTTGGAGAGGGAATTTTTTTGTTGTTGTTGTCTATTTATTCTTTATTCTGCCTTTTACTTATATATGGGGGTTCTCATACAAAAGAAGTCACATGACAGTTCAGCTTGTGAGTCCGATTTACTTCACCTAACAGTGTCACCTCAAGGTGCAGCCATCTTCCTGCAAATGTCTTGGGTTTACCCGGGAAGGATTTTATTTTTAATGTGCTAATTTATAGGGAGACCACAGCAAGGGTAATTCACGAGGCAAAGGAACAAACTATATTTACACGTGAAAATAGACAAGCCTGGAAAGAACATATGAGGTGAATTTTATAGTGTCTTCTTTTCTTTTTCATCTTTAGAAAAGAAATGTGATACCAGATGATTCTCAGGAAACCAAGTCAAGCCTGAGTGCACATGAGGTTCACACAGAGAGGCTGGCTGTGCTGGTAAGCCAGCTACTACGTGGTTACAAATCCTCCCTTTGTTTTGGCTTAACAATGGGGCTTCAGTTTGTTTTTGGTTAGTTCTGTGATTTCCTTGAAAATTTCCCTCCGAGACAAGAAAACCCTAAAAATAACTGAGGGGAATTCAGCGGGTTGATTATTATTATTATTTTTTTCTCTCTCTCTTGAATAAGAGGAGGGTTAAAAGAAGCTGAGTTAAAAAGATGGAGATGTGACATCTGGGGAGAAAAACCAGTTTGTGTGTAAGTCCACGATTGTCCCATACTAGGACATTATTTAAAGAAATGATGCAGGGCCAGTGAGATAGCTCAGCAGCCTAAGCACTTGCTTAGGCACACGCAGGGACTGGGGCTCGATCCCCGGCACCACATGCTGTGCCGGTCCCACCAACGGGCGCGCTGAGCCAGCCACTGAGACCAGGTGTGGTGGTGCATGACTGTGATCCTAGTGCTGGGGAGGCTGAAAACAGGAGGATCACTAGGAGTCCGAGCTGCATAGTGAGACCCTGTACCAGATACATTTAAAAAAAAAAAAGAAAGAAAGAAAAGAAATGACAAAGGCTGATGGTTCTAGCTGATCCGCCAACTAACCGCCTGGCATCCAGAGCTGCCTCTCAACAGCACGAGGCTGAGAAATCTGTCATTGTAAGCAGAAAGGCAGCTCAGGGAGGAGCTTGCTTGGGGTGGGGGAGGCCATTCCAGTCTGACAGAGACTCTCAGACTCCATGGGGCAGGGGGAGGGGCTTTGTATTTGTCAACACATACGCACAGCACTTGTCACACGTCATTCTCATGCCGGTCTGTCTTCCAGTAGAGCTCCCTAGCTACATTCTACAGACGAAGAAATAGAGGGAGGCAAATTAAAAGGTTCTCCTGAGGTATAACAACTGGGAGAGGGAAAAACACACACACACAAAACTCACTATGTAGTTCAGACTGGCATTGAACTCCCCATGTAGCCCAGGTTGGCCTTGAACTTGCAGCGGTCCTCTTGCCTCAGCCTCCAGAGTGCTGGGATTACAGGTGTGCACCACCATGCCAGGCCACAGATGTATATTTTAACTGCTGAGATGTGCTTAAATCGACATATACAAATGATATGTCTGAAAGATGGACCCTAAATAGTCAAGAGCAGTGCATTTATAGTATTTCCAAAAGAGCTAGTTTTCTCATTTTTCCCTTAGTTTCTATATTTTAATTTAAGGTCATGAATTCATGGTTGACACAACTGGGTGACAATCACGTAGCATCTCACTTCATGTCATACTGTATTTTAAACAAGTTTATTTAAATCATAAATAATAAACTGGTATTTGTGTTTCGAATAATTTATTCTTGCTAGGGAGATAGCTCAGCAGTATAAGCACCTGCCTGGCAAGCGTAAAGTCCTCAATTCGATCCCCATCCCTGCTGGTACAAAACAAAAACAAAAGTAATTTATTCTTACTTAAAGACATTGTCCTACAGATAAGAACTATGTAAATGTTATAAAATCGTCCTTGGTTTTACAACGATACATTTAAAACATTAAAATGCTCCAAAAGAACAAGCCACACAAAGGTTTTTAAACTGCTGCGTTTTGTTAAAACACTGAGATTTAGACATTTAAACCCCAGAGCGCCCAGTGAGCATGCGCAGCTCACGCAGCAGGCGGGCTTCGCCCTTGCTCTCCATCTGATGTCAAAGCACACCGGTGCTGATTTCCTTTACAAACTCCTGCGCGCAGTGCAGTTTCTCTGCGTATGGTAATGCCTTGGGGCAGCGGGGGATGGAGGCCTGGCCATGGGGCGCAGGCTGCGCCGCACCCCGCCGTTCTTCTAACGAGGCTTGTCCGTGCGCGTGAGAACGGCGTGCTGGACCGCGGGCTCGTCTTTCCTCAGCAGGAGGCGCTGCCCGTCGGTCGCAGGGACATCGCGAGTGTAGCTTCGGTCTCAGTTGCATCCGTTGCAGCTGGTGGCCATCCAGTCAGAATCTGTCCTGCCTCAGCCACAAACCCAGCCACTCACCCTGCCCTTGCCCTGGCCACTCGAGGCACGGGTCTCTCGACGGACCCGCTGTGCCCCCGCCTTCCCGGTGGGAGGAATGCGGCCCAGTGTCCCTGGTCCTGGGTCAGCCCGAGGGCTGGAGCCCGTTGCGGGAGGGCTGGGGTCGCGGTGCTCCGCCGCGGGCTCCCACGCTTCTCTGCAGGAGCGGCAGCTGCAGCGGGGCTCCGGGGAGCAGCGGAGCGCGGTGGCCAGGGAGCTCCTGCGGAGCGAGCGGAAGTACGTGCGGCTGCTGGCGGCGGTGCGGGACGCGTACGCGGCGCCCCTGAGCGCGGCGCTGGCGGCCAACAGGGCGATCCTGAGCGCCGCGAACATCCAGATCATCTTCGCTGATATTCTGCGGATCTTAAATCTGAACAGGTCAACGAACTGCGCCATGTACTTTTTAACAATGGGATCTGGGTGGTGGGAGGAGCTATTTTGTCTGAAGCAGAAGGGAGGCTCTGCCACTCTCTGCCCCTCTTAGGGACCCCATCCTCTCAGAGGATAGAGGCTTCTCAGTGAGTCGCGCCCTACTGCACAGCTGTGTTGAGTTCTGGGCCACCACCCCATCACAGGCCACAGCTGTGCGCCAGAAAGGAGCTCAGCAATCATCAGAGAAGGACAGCTGTGGCTTCGCTCTTGGTCAGCTGCGTTTAGCTGCGTAGTGGGAAAGGAATATGGTGCTAGGATGTTCTGCTCAGGGCCCAAAGCTGAGGCTGCAACAACGCGCTCCTGACCTCCTGGACAGACAGCCCCTCTGGTACTCTGGGGCCAGGTCCCAACTGTGGGTCCACACTTTACAAGTCAGGAGGTGGAGAGGCCCCTTCCGTTAATCAAGGCTGCGATAGCGGCCTGGAGGGAGAAAGCCTCAAAACAGCAGAAAGGTTGCAGCATGTCAGCTCTCCTTCTCCAGGGATGGGACAGGATGATTGGGTGGATTTAAGGGATTAGGGGAAGGGGCAGGGGCTTTCTCACAGCCCCCTTCCTCCCGTACCTCCCAGCTCCCCCTGCCCCATCAGATCGCATGGTGCTGTTTTAAGGAAAAAATTCTTGCTCAAAACCAAGTAAGGACTGGGAAAGACGAGGTCGCCAAAGGCTACACTAGGATGATGAATTGTGTTCAAGTCCGTAGGCTCTTATGGGTTCGGTTCCTACACATGGTATGTTTTGTTTGTTTGGTTTTTGTTGTTTGTTTGTTTGTTTGTTTTTCTGATTGCAGGCAGTTATTGGATAACCTGGGAGAGAGACTACAGGAATGGGGCCCAGCCCACTGTGTGGGGGACATATTTATGAAGTTTGGGAGCCAGTTGAATATATACACCAACTTCTTCAACAATTATCCTGTTGTTCTGAGAACTATCGAGAAGGTAAATGATCGGAGTTGCCATCCATGCTTGCATTAGGTCTGAGCCTGCACTGTGCAGCCCCGAGGACCAGAGTGGACAGGCCGGGCTGCTCCTCTGCTCTTTCTGTCCAGGTGTCCTCCTTGCACCGGGAGCTCCCTAGGATGGAGCGAGCACAGTGCTTGGCACAGAGCAGTGCCCAGGGCCTGGTTGCTGGGCAGAAGGAATCCTCACGTGCATTGCCAGGTTCCCGCCTTCCCAGCTCCTCTGTGGCCCTGGGACAGGAGAATGTCAACACTTGCATAGCAATTCAGCTCTTTGGACAACTTGTCTCAAATGCATCTCCTGGAGGGATGTAAAAGTGGGCCACTGACCAGCCAGCAGGGCAGGGCCATGCCCTGCAAGATGAAGTCACTTGAGCTGTAGTTCAGGTTGGCCTTGAAAGCCTCCCAAGTGTTGGGAGTATAGGCGTGTGTCACCATGCCTAGCTGATATCCATTTTAAAGATGGGAAAGCTGAGGCTTAGAGAAGTTGCATAACTTTACAAGATAACATACTCAATTTATTCCAGTTCTAAATCAGGCCCTCCTGATTGCACCATCTGTTGGTTACTCTGTCTCTACTAAGTTCAGTGGTAAGGCTTGGCCTGTGTTACACTTAATACATCTTACTTAGTATACCAGGAGATACCAATAGTTCTCTTGGTAATTGGGTTAGAGAGAGATGCTGCCCTTTCAAGAGCTGCAGACATCCTCGCTCACTCGGGGAGCAGGGGCCTCTCCATCTGTCTCACAGAGCTGAGCTTTGACCAGGCCACCCTCACCTTTCAGTGCCGAGAAAGGACACCAGCATTCCGAGCATTCTTGCAGGGGTGTGACAAGACGATCGCCACCAGCATGCTGAGGTGAGTTCTGAGGGAGAGAACAGGGGGGCTCTTAGCACAGGGCTGTGTCCTCTACCTTCAGCCAGAGCCCAGGGCGCCCCTCTCTGCGCCCCTGCAGCCTGCCAGAGCTGCTGCTGTGCCCGTCCCGGAGATTTGAAGAGTATGTGAGTCTGCTCTATGCGCTGAGGCTGCACACTCCTGCAGAACACGCCGGCCGCGGGGTGCTGACTGCTGCGATTGACCAGATCAAAGACTACAAAGCTTACCTAGATCAGGTTGGTGGCCGAGAAGCATCTGTGTGCTTCCAACCTGCTGCAGGGCTTTCGTGGCACTCTTCCCTCGAAGATCCTCAGTGTTCTTGTGGTTAGTGACGCTCTTACTCCAGCCTTTCGTTCTTGTAGTGCTACGTGAGTGCTCAGTGACTTTGTACATTAGGGCGTCTATTCTAGCCCAAATTGAGCAACATGAAGCAGAATGTTCTCGGCTGTACAGTTACGATAACACTTTCATGAACATAAATTTGAAAATTGGATTGATTTTTCTAAATAACAGAAACAACACAAATACACAATCCTCAGCGTCTGAAAGCACTAAGGTATCAGCTTTCTGCCTCTGTAAGTAGAGTAATAATAGTCTCTCAAAGACTTCAACATGTTGGAGTACAGTAGTCTCATTCTGAAAATACTGTGATTGTACAGTGTGTATATTTGTCTGGGCTGAATGTACCTGGAAGATGCTTTTGACTAGTCTTGGTACCTGAGTCTGTTTTAAAGCAATAGGAATGGAAAAGTGAGGTTTTTCTCACAGTAACGTAGTGCACTGTAAGCCATACAATATTTTAATCACTTTCTTTTATACACACAAACATCACAATTTTAGTTTGCCTAAAATCAATTTCTTTTCTAGATAAAGGAAAATGTCCACATGAAAGAGCAGCTGTCACACATACAGAGACTCATCCGCGGGTGCCCCGTATGTACTCTGACGCACTCGCTCTGCCTTGCACTTGTCAACAGAACCTCATCATTGGCAAAAGAAGCTGTGCAGACCCCAGCACAGCCGTCTAGGAGCAGTGTTCGCCACTGCCCGGGAGCCGGAATCTCTCACATTCTGTTCATGGCTGCAAGCGGGCTGGAGAGGGGCACGTGTACTATAGGCCCCACTTCACAACGAGCTCTGTTGGGGGGCATGGATTCCCACGGTGCCGGGTGCAGACTCTACACTGTCCATTAGCGATCTGTCACTCTGGGGTCTCAGCGGGTCCTCTCGGCCTTCCTACTACCTGTCGCACTCCCCAGATCCCCTCCCCATCCCCTGGCAGTGTGGCCTGTCTTCATCTGTTCTGTGCTCATACTCTTCCTTGTCTTGAAATTGCCTTCCAATTCTACTCCACCAGACAATCATCCTTTATAAATTGTAGTCAGTCATTACTTTGCTTGGGAAGCTGTGGGCCACTCCTTCCCTGGTGTCCACAGCCTCCTGCCCCTCCTCGCCTGTCTCCAAAGCCTTCATCCTGGGAGCTGTGGCTCGTCTTCTGGTATCTGGCACTCAATCCAAGAGGAAGGGACACTAGCAAGTATATCAGTTCATTTTAAATGTTATTTTAATTTGGTCCAATTGGGGAAGCAAGATGGAGTTGTTTTAATTTTAATCGTCAGGGCTGGCCAAATAGCTCAGCAGATTCAAGTGCCTGCAAGCAGGCGCAGGGGCTGGGGTTTGATCCC